GATGAGATTTGTCTTGCAGCTAAAGCCCCGTCCACACTCCTGACAAACATGTGGCTTCTCTCCTGAGTGTGTCCTCTGGTGTCTGATGAGATTTGCCTTGCAGCTAAAGCCTCGCCCACACTCCTGACAAACATGTGGCTTCTCTCCTGAGTGTGTCCTCTGGTGTCTGATGAAATTTGACTTGTTGCTAAAGCCTAGTCCACACTCCTCACAAGCATGAGGCTTTTCTCCTGAGTGTGTGCTCCTGTGGCTGATGAGATTTGACTTGCAGGTAAAGCCTCGTCCACACTCCTCACAAACATGTGGGTTTTTTCCTAAGTGTGTCCTCTGGTGTTTGATGAGATATGCTTTGCAGCTAAAGCCTCCTCCACACACCTGACACACGTGTGGCTGCTCCCCTGACTGTGTCCTCTGGTGTCTGATGAGACTTGACTTGCAGCTGAAGCCTCGCCCACACTCTTTGCACAGGTAAGGTTTCTCACCCGAGTGTGTCCTTTGGTGTATGATGAGAACTGACTTGCAACGAAAGGCTCGTCCACACTTCTCACAAACAAGTGGCTTTTTTCCTGAGTGTGTCCTCTGGTGTCTGATGAGATTTGCCTTGCAGCTAAAGCCCCGTCCACACTCCTCACAGACCTGTGGCTTCTCTCCTGAGTGTGTCCTCCGGTGGCTGATGAGATTTGACCTGCAGCTAAAGCCCCGTCCACACTCCTCACAAACATGTGGCTTCTCCCCTGAGTGTGTCTTTTGGTGTCTGCTGAGATTTGAATTGTAGCTAAAGCCTTGCCCGCACTCCTTGCACACATATGGCTTCTCCCCTGAGTGCATCCTCTGGTGTCTGATGAGTGTTGAATTGCAGCCAAAGGCTCGCCCACATTGCTTGCACAGGTAAGGTTTCTCACCCGAGTGTGTCCTTTGGTGTCTGATGAGAGTTGACTTGCAGGTAAAGCCTCGTCCACACTCCTTGCACACATACGGCTTATCCCCTGAATGCATCCTCTGGTGTGTGATGAGACCTGAGTTTCGGGTAAAGCCTTGTCCACACTCTTGACACACATGTGGCTTCTCTCCTGAGTGTGTCCTCTGATGGGCTTTGAGGATTGACTTGTAGATAAACCCTTGCCCACACTCATGACACATATAAGGCTTCTCACTTGAGGATGTCTTTTGGTGTTTGGTGAGCGATGACTTGTACCTAAAGCCTGGCCCAGATTTGTCACACACATTAGGTTCTGCCTGTACATGTGTCCTTTGCTCCATAAGGACAAGTGATTCCTGGTTAAAGCCTTGGCAGCACTCACTGTATAAATGTGTCTTCTCTGCTGCATGTGTCCTTTGCTTTGCGGTATAATTTGAATTCAGGCCAATGTATGCCACAATGTCTCTACGAGTGATTGCTCCAAATCTTGAGGTTTCAACTTCCTTTAACACCTTGTCTGTGTCCATAAAGTTGATCCTTTGGAATGAGTGGGGCTCCATTGCTACCA